CATTTCTCATTCCTCCTTCAATGTCTTATCAGAACATTAGGACTTTTGTTTTCTGCATTTTATCATTTTTGGTAAGGCCTTATTTTAATATTTCAGCATGATCCTTCAAGATAACCTGCTATTAAGCAATCGTTTTTGCACATATGCACTATAGATATTTGCACAAAATTAATTTAAATAACTTGTCATAATGAAAACTAAAGTATTAAGTAAAACCATACATTTTTTTTTATTCATTCGTGCCCAATTTTAAGTTCTAGGTAAAATTTAGAAAAAAAATCTTACCTTATTTAGACATCTAAACCTTTCAGTCAAATGCTAAGTAGTCCATAATTATAAAGGTTGAATTCAGGCATGAGAGGGAGGGATGATTAATGTAGTAGTATAAGTCAGAGACTCAAGTCTAAAGTGTGTTTGATTACTTATAACAGGTCAAGAATACGAATGATGTTACACAGGACTCCTTTCAAAGTAAATCCCACCCAGATCGGAGGCAGCACAGACTTGAAAAGTACAGAAATCAGAATGCCCAGTTAAGATAATATAATGAAGCAGCTAAGCTTGACCTGTGGAAAGAGTGCACTCTGGTTTCCACGCTATGGGCTTTGAAGTTGGCCTTTTTCTCCAACCTCACTGCAGTTATCCTAGCAGAGATGCAGAGCCAAGCTTGCAGGGTCTGGCAATAAAGCCTTTCAAAGGCCTGGTCACCCCAGCTGTGTATGGATCTAGAGCAGCGGTTCTCAACCTGTGGGTCGCGACCCCTTTGGGGGTTGAATGTCCCTTTCATAGGGGTTGCCTAAGACCATAGGAAAACAAAAAGATATTTACATTACGATTCATAACAGTAGCAAAATTATAGTTACAGAGTAGCAATGAAAATAATTTTATGGTTGGGGGTCACCACAACATGAGGAACTGTATTAAGGGGTTGTGGCATTAGGAAGGTTGAGAACCGCTGATCTAGAGCTTTAGGTTTCAGATTTCTCTTCATTTGTACCATTAACATGGATCCATTACTCCTAGGATGCCAGTTCTCCTAAGTGTCCTATTAGTTCTTGAACTTCACTAGCTAAAGTTCATCCAAAAGTTCAATGTAGCAAAGGGAAACATTACAAAAAGACTTGACATGGAATCTTAGTTCTATTGTATTTTCCTCCACTGGTTCTTGGGCACTATCTCTTTAGGTCAGAACCCTGTGCAGCCCTATGTACCACAAATGCCAAGTCTATTCATGAAATCTTTCCTGATCTCTCTCAATCAAATGTGATTTTTCGTCTATCTGAGACGCCATAAATCTTGACTAACCGAGCTGCAGCATGTCCAGTGCAAAGGCATTCTGTATTCACTATTTCTTGGATTAAATTCCATCCATGCACCTTCCTAACACTGTCACTTTGATAAACTTGCTTAATCTTTCTGGGCAAGGATCCTTTATTTATAAAGTTGTCTGTCCTAGGGCAGGGATGGGGTGAGGATATTAGATACAATGTATGAAAAGTGGCTTAAGTCAAAGTCTAAGACATACTAGACACGTGATAAACAGTAGCTATGATTTTACTTTTCTTATAGGCCAGAACCAATTTTGCCTTACACCATTGTTATTTGAAGACTTGAGCACACTTTTTGTATGATGAATTCCATTGAAATGTGAACTGCATCTTATTCATTTTTAAATAATCCACAGTACAGCTGCATGCATTTAAGAGGCATTCATTCATAAATATTTCTTCTTTAAATAATGAAATACTTAACAGTATGACCTCAATATATTTCTTTGACCCATATCAGTAACATTTTTCTAGATTGTGAGCAAGGCAATATTTATTATGTCCACCTAGATGACAATCAAAATAGACTTGAATAACTTAAGGTATATGGGATCGGATGTTACTTATTCTATGTAGATTGCTGCTAGAGCGGAAAGGATTAAAACCAAGCTGGGGTGATGGAAGTGATTTTTCTTCAGGGAGCTGTCCCCACATTCAGCTGTCATACCAGCTGCCAATGGCTCTGTCCTCGCAGCCTCTTAGTGGAACATAGTCTGGGTGTGCATGGATAAAAAGAGAACCCAGAAAGGTCCAGTGGGGCTTATGCTCTATTCTCCAATTTCATTAACTCATTGCTCCCACATGTGAAAGTCAGGAAGCTAATAATGTAACAAACTACTTGTCTTTAGATTTAAAATGTAACTGTGTAATATGACTTTGCCAAAAGGGATCTACACATTGATCTGTAGATAAGGGCTTTCCCTACAGTGCCAATTAATGGAAAGTAAATGAATCAGTAAAAGGTGTGTTTAAAACTTCAAGAAAAAAAATGTTTTAAAAAGAATCTTAACTGGTATGGAAAGCATGTGTGAGAAAGTCTTCGTGAAAGTCAATATTGTGGGATTATTCTATAAATTTAATTACCCAATCCGCCTTACTTTCTAGTAACAGTTTCTTATTCATTTGTTGCACAATTTCTGTTTTCCAGGAAGGTAGTTGGCCAACTATCATCTTTGCTTTGTGGAGAGTGACATTCTAATTTGATATTAGCCACCTATTTAAGACCTTGAATTTTTGTAAGCTGCATAACTTTCTCTGGTAAAGTCAGGATTCAGTTCTGCATACCATACAAGCAAATCAGATAATCTATATGTGTCATTACATCTACAATACATTGTTCTATTCACCCAACTCAGGTAATATATAAATTAAAAAGAGAAGTGATGATATCCTAATTACAATGCTATAATCCAGAAATGTCTATTTAGAATTCTGATTTGTTCTAAAATTGCAAACACACAACATAATATACATTCTAAAATAGGTACTTTAAATAGAGTTAAACTTTTACTAAAAATTTAAAAGAATAGTCAAAATACTAGGAAAACCTTTGATGGCTCATGATGGGTATTAAACAAACTTTACCTCAGTTGTATGAGTGATCTCATTTAGCCTCTAGAAAAATGCAGTGAAAACTAATATAATAAATGTGTCAACTTGCACACACTGAAATGAGAAAGTTTAGAATTTAAGAATTTTTTCCAGTAAAATTTAAAACTGTGTCTACAAATAGTTTGACGGGCATATGTTTGTTCTAGCCAACTCTATAGAAATACACATTTTAATTTTAAGCCTTGCGTTGGCATGTTTGAATGTACTGACCTTTTAAATTTTTGTTAAAATGACCTTTTAAAAATTCCATAATGCCTTTTAACATCTCCAAGGGTACATTATCATATGCCTTCTCTGTAATGAGTAATCTGCAGGGTGTGTGTGTGTGTGTGTGTGTGTGTGTGTGTGTGTGTGTGTGAGGGTAACCTTGAAATCTACAACTGGGAGTTAAGTTCTTCCTCTTACCAACCGCCGCACTTACTTCAGCAAACCCAACTAGGAACTTCCTTCACTTCTAACACTGAGCTGAAGCTCTCTATATAATCAGGCCTCGAGTTCGGGGAAGCCCTTCATGGCCAATCAGCGCTTCCCGATCTATTGCGTCACACCTCCCTGAGCGTGACGTCAAAGGCAATCCCCAGGCTAGCCACGTGGGTTGGAGGGGAGTAGCTCTTCTGCTCAGCTGACAGGGCTCCCACATGCACCTCCCGGGAGCACAGCTCCAGCCGCTCGCGCGCTCCGGTGGCGCGCGGGGCCGGAAAGTCCAAGCGCTGAGCGCGGCCGTTTGGGGGCTGGAGAGGCGCGGGGGTAGCTGGCACCCCAGGCTGTGTAATAGGAGCCGGGTCTCGGAAAGCCTCCTCCCCAGGCACCGCCTCTCCGCTCCCAGCTCCTCTTTCCAGCCTTAATTATCCTTTCAGCGCGTTTCCACGGCGGGAGGAAAAAGTCTCCCTCGCCTCCCAGTTCTCGCCCTCACAGACCCTCCTTTCAGACCCGCCCTCCGGTTCACATGGACCCATTTCAGAGTCCCGGCTCGAGCTTGGGCGGGAACCTGCGTGACGGATTCCGCCCAAGGTGTTGATTATCCATCCCAGCCTCTGGCTCGCCTCCCTCCTTTACCCCAGGCTCCCGCGGACCCCTGCCCCCCAACCCCGGGCTGGGTGCTCGAAACGGCGCCCCTCAAACCCCCCACCCGGCTGTGCCTGGCGCTGCAGCTGCGGGGAGAAGCGCCAGCGTGCTCGGTGCCACGTTGGAATTGGCTCCCGGGACTTTGCAGCTGCCGGCGCGCCGCGCGCGGTCCCCATGCGCGCCCTGCCCTCGGGCGGCAGGCGGGCGGAAGGGATGCGCGCCCTCCTCCTGCTGGGGTCTGCGACAGCCGCCGCGGGCGTCAGGGACCTCTGGCCGGAGTGAGGCTTCCGGAGCCGAGCTGAGCCCGGACAGACCCGGCCTCACATGTTAGTGGGGTGCAGGGAGTGCAAAGGAGGGAAGGCCGGAGAAAGGGGGGGAGTGGCCGAGCGAGGCCAGCAGCTGAGAAGGAGGCAGCGGAGGGCCCTCCTTCTCTGGGGTCCCCGCTCTCCGAAGCTGGGAGCCCGGATCGCTTTAACCCTTTGCATTACAAGTAAGAAGCGGGCTTCCCACTAGGAAGTAAAACGCGCTGGGCCGTTCCAGGGTTTTCCTCCCCAAGTCGAGTTTGTGCGGGGGGCAAGAAGGAAAGGGATGGGAAGGGAAGGGGGAAGGAAGAGACTGTGCCGGATACCTTGTCCTTACACAGTCGAAATTCGTGTCTCCTAACTCGGGAGCCCCTCTGCAGCTCCGGAAGATGCGGAATGGAAAAGTACATCCCGGGACGTGCCGTTTTCCCCGGGCAGGGAGTTTACCTGTGTTCCCAGCAAGGCAGCGGTTTCTGGAGAGCGCCATAGGGATGGTAAAAGATAGACTGCTAAGCCTGACAGTGGTCTAAAGTACCCTCATTTTTAGTCTGTTGGAAATTTTCTGATCTCAAACTTTTCTGTCGAAAGCTAACTTTAAAATTTTTTTTTACCACTTAACGTTGATAATTTCTTCCCTCTCCCTGGCCTATTCGAGGACCCTTATCCTTCACCAAATCGCGCCAGTGTAACGTACCTTGTTCAGCTCTTGGTCATAAAGTTGTCCTCAGCCTGTCTGTGTGGTCCCGGAGGGCCGGTGGCGGGCAGTTTCCAAAATTGAGGTAATAAGAGATCAGATGAATTTGAGACGCCCGGCCAAAAAAAATAAAAAATTTAAAAACAACATTTAAAAGGGATGGGGGGAGTCTTAAAGGTTTGGTTCTCCCCCACTTTAAAAGGAAAATTCACTACTATTCTCTTTGATATTTCCGTTGCACTTCAGTCTATTAAGTCTTAAAAGAAAAATGTGTGCTTTAAAAATAAATTAACTTTCTTATTTATTATTATTTAGGGGTTTTTTTGTTTGTTTTTTGCTCCAGTCCCTGTCCCCTGATATCGTAAAGTCTCCTTTCTTTTTCGTGTCAAAAAAAAAAAAAAAAGCCGGGTGAAGACGCAGCAGAACCGGGAGAAAGTCTTTGGCTGGGGCTGATTCAAGTCCCTGGTTCAATGGGCTGCTGGAAGCCAGGACTAGGTAATTCTTTCCAGACGTCTTGACTTCTCCTTCCTCGCAGTCGTTGCCTTTCTGCCTCCTCCAACTTAAGGGGGTCTTAACCAGTGAGCTGGTGGGTGTTTTAATAGGGCGGAGGAGGGAGTGGGGGATGAGGGGAGTGGAGGAGGGAGGTGCGGACTGGGGAGCGCGGGCGGGAGGCGGGGAGGAGGAGAGGGAGAGAGAGAAATTGGCCATTCAAAGCCCTCTCTGAGCTCGAGGCCGGTTCTAAACTCCAATGAATTCAATTAACTTGATTGCTAACGTGTGCAGAGAGTTGCAGCGCACCCAAGCTGGCCACCACCTGAGCCCCGCCTTTCTCCAGCGGTGGAGCTGGGAGGCCATGCTTTGCAGACATCGCTGAACTCCTGTCGGAGTTACAAGGATTCCCTCTTGGGGATCAACTCCCCTTGCTGTTTCAGTAATGTGCTTTAAGACCAGACGGTTAGGCTAAGTAACCACCGGGGTTGAGAGAGCTGGGAG